TCAAGAACTACAACGAACGGCTCGTTTGGACTACAGCGTTTGTTTTCCGGGTTTTGTGATATCACAAAGCGGCCCATTAGAATATCATTAAAATAATTACCACCTACGGAAATTCGACTGGTTGGGGGGTGGGGAGGGACGATGTCGTGGTTAGAATGCTTGGTTAAGTGCATCAGACAAGACGACGACGACGACGAAGTGCTGCTGTAGCCTCAAGTTTTCGCAGGTTATTACACATACACCTGAATAATTATGTATGTAAATATGTATGTTACAATTATATAAACGTTTTTATAATAAGCAGTGTTTCCCATACATTGAGTGCGGGTGTTTTTATATCACCGTATTTCTGAAGGAAACCGACTGTCTTCAGAAAATTGGATGTTATTTTCATTTAATCTTGCATGTAATGTCTGTAAAAGCAGTGTTTTTTTGAGCTGAGCACTGCTTAGTGTACAGCCGTTACCGGGGAAACCTTGATCTCTACCACTCCAACAGCGCCTCCTGCTGGCAGAGAACGAGTTTGCATATATATGCCGCCTGGGAAACGTCTCAGGTTACTTATGTAACTATGGTTCCCTGAGTAGGGAATGAGACACTGCGATTAGATTTTTGGCCCTCCATGTTAAAAAGTTTGGCTACCCCTGCACAAGAGCAACAAACATAAGAGACAAATCCAGACAGTGTAACAAATAAAACCAGACAGACTGTTAAAAAGTCTTCCTCTAATTCTCCAAAACCAGCATTTATTTTGTTTGCTAGTCCCTTACGGTTTCCATCAACACTTATTTGTCAGCTAAGGCACAAGCAAGTTTACAAACACTTTATAACTTGTCATAAAAAATAATGTTCAAGGCAGCTGTGAACTTCCTCTGATCCGCATGTGTGCTAAGTGTTGTTTGTCTTGGCAGATTAAAAGTTTTAAGCACTGACTTTTTTTTCATAATCAAAGAGAGACTGGCAGAAAAGAAAATGCGAGTGAAAAGTTTACTGCAGCTGCTTTGGGAAAAGTGTTTGATGGTACAGCTCTACCTGTCTTCATGTCTTCCTCTCTGCCATCTGAAGGCCTGAAGTCTCTATTATAGTAATATGACCTACACACCTGTGCCTGCATAATTAATCAGGCTTCACATCAGCCACCTGCACTGCTAGATCAGTCTCGGGTTACAATTAACTTCTAGTCCAAAATCTGCTAACTGCACCTTTGCGCTGAACTGTACTGCTAAATCGACCCCTGGATGTCACTAACAGGCCGTTTCACAGGTGTCCAGTGAACGAATGACATCATGGGCACGTTTACCTGCTGCTTAGTGTGTTTGTTCAGTGTTTCGCCTGCCGTTGGGGGCGGCAGCCCCCCCAACACCCCCCTTGAAGTTCAAGTTAATTTTATTTAATTATAATTTCTCTATAGCGCCAGATCACAACAGAAGTCATTTAAAGTTACCTTTCCTATAGAACAGGTATATACCTTGTTCTTTTATTAAGCAAACTAAATAGCCTTATGTTATTTATCTTATTTACATGACGGCATGTAATTTTAAATGTTTTAATTGTAATATTAAATGACCTTTATTTTCCAAAAAAAATTTATTTGTTTAATTTTCATTACTTAAAAAATAGATTAAATTAATGTTTTATGCCTTAAAAAAAATGTAAATACACAACACAGAATTTCTGAGCAAAAAATCATAAGGCTATTAAATGAAACTTGTTTTATGCTTTCAAATAATTAGACATGCTAAAACAGAATTTGGTTACAATAAAACATAAGGTTGGAAAAAGAAAACATTTCATAGGGCCCCCATTAAAAAGGAGTCCAGAAAAAAAAAACTAAAACAGAACCCCCCTCCCTCCTCCCCTGTTGAATCTGGTGTGCAAGGTGTGCGGCTCTTACCTCTAAGAGCTGTTTTCAGGTTCACTTTGGCCTGGCGGTGCAGGTCTTCCACGCAGGCTGGTCTGGAGCCCGGCAGAAAGACGTTCTCCTGCTGGTGCCATGGAGCCGTGTAGTGCACAGTCCACTTTTTCTCTTCATCCAGATTAGATACGGCTAAAAAACACACACACACAAAGAATAAAAATTATTTATATGCCATAAACAATCAACATACCTATTTATTCATGCACAGAACATGCACATATAACCAAATGCAAGTAATAGCGACCAAATGTGTCCATTTGTGGTCACACTGCGAGTCAAAACAGAGCCAAAAGTACTCCTGCAGGATTTCAATTTGTTTTAAAGTTGGCTACAATATTGTGCTTAAACTTTAACTTGGTCAACCCTAAAAACTTGAACCAAAGAGTGACTTTAAGTGAACAAGAAGACCGGTACAAGCTAGCAGAGGTGCAAATGGGTCATGACGTAAAGGGGAATCTTGGAGGAAAGACCCCTGGAGCTGTCCCGACAGCAAACAAACAAAAACAACAGGCTGGTTGTTTTAACGTGAGAGGAAGGGAAAGTAGAGGAGCAGCGGTGGGAGTTTTCTCACAGGTGTGAGGAGCTGTGTGTCCACAGGTGGCACTGGGCCGTTAGGCTGTGATGGCCCATCATGAGAGAGCTGCCAGACTGACAAGCGGAGCCCACGGGAGGCTATTGTGTTTATTCATGAGACATCAGGACTTTCAATATAGAAGTGATTTCTTGCTCTTCAGAGAGACTAACACATACTGATCTGTGACTATTAATTAATCTACCAAGGGCTTCTGTGCACAGCTTCTGGTTTCTCTATGGCCAAATGTCATTATTTTTTACATTTAGTTTTCAATTTGTAAATAAATAAATAAAATTAAATCATTAAAAAATATCATAACCCTAAAAACAAAACTAAAAAAGCCATAAAACAATAATAGAATTGAATGAAAATACAGAATAATAAATATACTGAGAATTTTATAATTACATGTTTTTCTAATAAATTTTTACATTTGTAAATATTTTTGAAAGAAGTCGTATATGCTCACCAAGGCTGCATTTATTTGATAAAAAAATACAGTAAAATGTAACATTATGAGATATAAATAGAAAATAAAGAATTAATAAAGTATTTTCTAATATATTTAAAGCAGACTTTTTAGTTGCCAAAACAGTTATACTGTTTAATATGTTTCTGGAAATCATGATGTCACTGTACCTTTTGATTAATTTAATGTATCCTTGGTGAGTAGAAGTATGATGTTAACTTACAGAAGTTTGGATCTAAAAGTATAAATTGAAAAGACACCAGTGGGGGCAGGGAAAGGTGCTGGAATCAAACTCAAGCAATCAAAGTGTGAACATGTTTTTTTCATTCCCTCTCCAGGTTTTGCTCTCTTCATTAACCACAACACTGAGTCTTTGAACTTGTTGTTCAAATCAATTCTGGGCTTCAAAGGGACACATTCTCCTCAAAGGCATCATCTGTGCAGACATCAGACAGGACAAAGCAGACCAACACATGGGAGGAGGGCATTTAGCACTGCAGAAAAACACGTTACAAATACTGCCATTTGTAAATGAAACGACACAATCATCTAACAAGTGCTGTAGATTCACAGATATCTCTGTTTAGGACATACATTAACTGCTCAAGTCTGTGGGCCTTTAGCTTTTAGCTGTGTATAATTAAGTATTCTGAACAAAAATAAAATCACCGGCTTGTCCCTAGAATTCATCCTGTCGGAAATATTGATGCGTTGAGTTTGCCACGGGTTAGTACCTAAATGTTATGTGATCATGGCTTCATCGGTGTGGTAACAACCAAACAGGTCAATAATCTACCAACCAGCTGACTCTGTCACATAACCAGACCAACACGGAATCTGCGCAAACAGAATTCCACAGAACTGGAATATCATTGGAGTTCTACATATCCCTAATTCTTGGCATGTGTGTAAAGTGCACAATTTATGTGCCCAATGTATGTTTTCAAAAAGTCTTCCTGCACAGAAGTCTTTCCATCGCAGAAAAAAAAAGGATACCCAAACACATTTGTTCATTTGATCAATAAGACCATTTGCTGGACAACAAAACCAGATGCACAAAAAGCATTAAACAACCTTCGTACTCCGTGGGAGAGATAAAAGTGAGCGAGCCCTTTGAAGTGCCTACAATAAATATCAGATAATTCCAGAATAGGCAATACACGCACTCACACAGCCCAGTCCACAACCCATTAAACCTGTCTGTGTGCTTGTGGGGAGTGAGGAGAGCGGCGGCAGGAACAAAAACCTGCATTGTGCCCAACATCAATCTCCACATCAGCCTGAGCTCAGCACTCAGAATCAGCCTATTCAAAATTCCCATAATCCCTCTGGTCCTGCTCGTACCCACACAAAACACACACACGTTGCAGTCAGCATCCACAACGTGTAACACTGGAATATGGATAAGCTCATCCAATTAATTTTGGCTCAGAAGATAAATGATCACAATTAAAAATGAATCACAATTTTAAAAACTGTTTATTATGTTCCGTACTACTGAGACAAAAAAATAAATAAAAATAATTATAATGATATATATATATAAATATATAATTAACACTGGATTATGTTTTATGAAAGCACTTTCATAATTTTTAATGCAATCGTATTAAAGCATTTAATGTCAATGAAGTAGATCAACCAGTGTCTGGTTCAAGAGCAAACTGTATTCAACCATTATTAAAAAGTGTCTTCCACAAATTGTGAATCTATGTTGATTAGTGATGCACAGATAATACATTCTGATTAATACAGATAAGACATTAAAATATTTTTACAATATTCTTAATATATTTAATATCTTAAAAATGTACTTTTAATATCTATTTTTATAATGCACTATTTCTATATTATAAATTCTATACAATTTTAACTGAAAAAAAAAAATCACAAAATAAAACTAATAGTTAATTAAATAATTTGTAGTGTTAGTTTATATTAAATGTTTAAGATATTAAATATTACCTCTAAGAGAAAATGAGATGAAGTCTAAAAGTAAACTAGCCTACATGTAAAATCAGGAGGGAACTGAGCATGCACAAAGTCACACTGTACAATTAAATATCGACAAATGCAGATAAATGAAATAGCATTTTTTAAAAATATATTATCGACTGATAACTGATACGGTACCAATATATTGTGCCGTGTCTAATGTAAATATTTGAAACCAGAGTAGGTATAATAAAAGATGCACACAATTTACCACAATTTATGCGTGACAGGGTCATTATCTGGACATCATAAGCAGAATCAAGGTGTCAACAGGTTTGTCTATTAAGTGTACAGGAAATGACTCATCTGTCCATGTAGAAATACAGATATACAGCTCTTTATGAACTCTGCACTTACATACCTCACAAAGTACTGACCTGCCACACAATCTGACACATTTAATGAAATCTCTTAAATTTACAATAAACCACTAGCTGATAGATCAATAAAACACAGCTATTGAAACAAGTTCACAAAACTAGATAGAAACCTGTCTGATCTCCATCAGCACTGAAAGAACATGGTCAAAGAGTTCTTACCCTTGCGTTTGAAGTATTTAATGACTGACTTGAGCGAAGTCCCAATGAACACCATTATTCCAGTGTGTGAGGCAGGTGGATCCGGTGTACAATTGTCTCGGCCTCCCAATACACGGGAGCGCTGGACGAGCAGTGTGTGTGTGTCCACAAACCTGTGTCCTCCTGCCAACAAGTCAGTGTGTGCCTCTCCCCATTTGATCAACGCTTATCGCCTCCACAATGAGCCCCTCCTACATATACACACACCCTCAACCCAACCCTGGGAAACACCTCCTCCTCCCTTACACATTCACACACACACAAACACACACAAACACACACAAACACACACAAACACACACAAACACACACAAACACACACAAACACACACAAACACACACAAACACACACAAACACACACAAACACACACAAACACACACAAACACACACAAACACACACAAACACACACAAACACACACAAACACACACAAACACACACAAACACACACAAACACACACAAACACACACACACACACACACACACACACACACACACACACACATTCTTCAACAAGAGGCTTTCTGTCAATATAAAACATCGTAAGATCTTCTCCGACCCAAATCATGAGACACACACACACACACACACACACACACACACACACACACACACACACACACACACACACACACACACTCACTCCTTGGGGCTCAGAGGGAGGGGTGTAGTATATGCCCCTCTGTTCATCTGTGCTTCGGTTACCAAGGAGCTCGCCAGCACAGCTCATCCAAAGTATCCACCCTGCTTCTTTCACTCTAACACAAGCTCATTGGAAAGACAAATTGCAAATGAGATCTCTTTAATCTCTCAATTATTTCTCCTAGGCCGCAATTAGATGAAATTAGTTTTGCTAAAGTTGCAGTTTTTTGTTCTAAGACCCCTGCTATATGTCTTCTCTAGAGTCAAGTATGGACTGAGTAGTTTTAAACTGTGCTCAGATTTGCCAAGATCTCAAAGTTTTTGTTTCTACTATAATACACAAGCCTATAGGAAAAAAAAAATTACAAATGAGATTTCTGTAGTGTCTTAACTGTTTTTCCTAGACAGCACTGAAATAAAACAGAGGCTTTTGCTTCAGTTTTGCTCCTGAGAAAAAGAGTCTGCAATAAAAATAGAAAATGATTTCAATATAAACTCAAATGTTTCTCCAAATAATCAGTTTCTATTAGGTCAGTAAGATTTAAAAATAAATAAATAAATATATCATGCTCACCAAGGTTGCATTTATTAAATAATAATAATTTTAATAAAAAATGTAATTAACAGGCTAAATAAAAATATACATTGCTAAATATTCTAACTTAAAACGATCATTCTAATATGCTGATTTGGTGCTCAAGAAATATTCCTCATTACCAACATTTTTATTATTGTGGTGAAAACCATGAATTTCAAAAGAACAAAAATGATTTGAAACAGATTTTTTGTTAACAATGTAAAATTCTTTTCACTTTTGATCAATTTAATGCATTTATGCTAAATAAAAGTATTAATATCTTAAAAAAAAA